GAGCGGAGAAGAAGAAATGAAAAACAACGAAGGTAAGGCTCCTAGGCCCTTTCAAGGGGTCCTTACTCTTTTTTAAAATATACGTCCTTTCCTAGCATTCCACAAGCAAGGCGCAAAACAACTGTGTGTTTCAGTCCAGGCGCAGCCTGGGGTTTGACAAACAGCAGTTGATGCAAAGAGATGTTTTTCAAGGGTACCAAATGGCAGTTGCTTTGGATGTGAGTTTGTGCTGGAATGCTAGGAGCTGGAGAGGCACATTCATTCAACATCACAAGGTTTTTTCAGGTTCCTGCTTGAGTAGCTTGCAGCCAGTACCAGGGAGACCAGGGAGAGCAAAATAGCATTTACCATGTTTGTGACCTAACGACAGCAGCACCAGCAACAAGCGAGACAAGAGAGCCACAGCCGCCTCAAAATTGTACAAGCACAAATTGGCAATGCAAGGTCCTAAATTTATGATCACAGTATACATACTCTTCTGAACATGCAGTGAAGAAGCTAATGTCAAGTTAGGATTAATAAATCCCCCCTAGTTAATCCGAGCCCACAAAGCCGCCGGAAATTGCCCAATTTAAAAGTATTATTGGCTGTTGATTTCCCCCCCTATGGTCTAGTTTTCTACCAACAATCCCCCCCAGTTAATCCGAGCCCACAACCAGGTCAATTTTTCGTATTACTACAACTACTACTGCTACTGCTACTGCTACTGCTACTGCTACTCCTCCTGCTGCTGCTGCTGCTGCTCCTGCTACTGCTACTGCTACTGCTGCTGCTGCTGCCGCTGCCGCTGCCGCTGCCGCTGCCGCTGCTGCTGCTGCTACTGCTACTGCTACTGCTACTCCTGCTACTGCTACTGCTACTGCTGCTGCTGCTACTGCTACTGCTACTGCTACTGCTACCACCACCTCCACCACCATCACCACCTACTACCTACTACATGTTTGATGAAATCCTTAAAAATGTCTAGGGCTCAGGGCCTATAAATTGCCTTATTAAAAAACAATTAAAAACAATCATTTGACAAGCTCACAAAGGGTACCCCTCACAAGGGCCGGTCCCCCATCAATAATCTGCACTACTACCCCCTATTAATTTGATCCTGTGTCCCTGGCCTTTTCTTTGTGCTTGTTTAAACTTGTTGTGACTACTACTACCTACTACTACCTACTACCTACTACTACCTACTACTACCTACTACTACCTACTACTAC